CTACATAGTCGGTCTGGATACAGTTAGATAGCGCAACTGACACAGACTCCCTACAAAGGTTGGGTCGGATACCTTAAGGAAGATGCAGGAGCAGATTAGCCACCCCACCCCTCCCCCCACACCCCCGGACCGCTCCCACGCCGACCGCTCGCGTCACGGCGGCGACCAAACGGCGATCAGCGCCCGGCCCTGGCGTCGGGCGGGGGCCCCTGCTCTGCGCCTCGAGGGGCCGCGCAGGGCCGCGATTCGCGCTGTCCGGCTCACTCCTTCTTGTCGGCGGGCAGCGAGGCGCTCGTCGCGAGGAAGGCGATGGCGAGCGAGGCGCCCATCACGGCGTACGAGGACTGGAGCATCATCGCGTTAGTGAAGCCGTAGCCTGGCGGCGGAGGAGGGGGCGGGGGGGGGCGGGGCGTCGAGGGGTGTTCACTGCAGAGGGGTAGCGTGCAGATAGCGGGCCAGGGTGCGAGTAGGGGGGGGGGGGGGTCACCCTTGAGGTCCCAGACAGCGTGGCGGCAAGCGCCGCAAAAGTGGTACGCGAGGGGCCTGTGCAGGAGGAGGAGGAAGGTCGGTGGTGCGGGGACGGGTCGGGTGGCCGCTGGTGCGGGGCGGCGACCACGACACTGCAAACTTTGCAAGCGGCGCCGCGCCCGAGTCGGCGATGGCTTGCACCTGTGGAGGGATGCAGCAGAGCAGCAGAGGGGAGGAGGGAGTGATCGAGAGCCAGTTTTATGGAGATTGGGGCGAGGCACCGGGTGCGCGGAGATCGAAGTAGGGAAGGGCTGGTGTGTGTGTGTGTGTGTGTGTGTGTGTGTGTGTGTGTGTGTGTGTGTGTGTGTGTGTCTGTCTGTCGTGTCGTGTCTGTGTGTGTGTGTGTGTGTGTGTGTGTGTGTGTGTGTGTGTGTGTGTGTGTGTCGTGTGTGTGTGTGTGTGTGTGTGTGTGTGTGTGTGTGTGTGTGTGTGTGTGTGTGTGTGTGTGTACGTCGCGCCTTGGCCTTGGTCGCCTCGGGTCCCGAGGTTGCCGACACGCCGGCAACGCCAACGCAGCCTGCCCGGGCGGGGGAGGGGTCTTGGGGTGGGGGAGACAGGGAGACGGGGAGGAGGTTGGGGGCGAGGCGAGAGGCGGACTTGAGCACGGGGCGGTGGGGAGACACGGACGAATGCTCGCTGGACTGTTCGCCCCGTCACCGACCTCCGTCCCCGACCCCCTCTCGCGTTCCCAGTGACAGTGACATCCGCTCCCGCGACAACTGCCCTCTCCACCCTACCCCATTCAATCCGGCGGGTGCTTCCAAGCTGCTGGCGGTGCCAGGTGGCGGCGGCGCACCGACGGTCAGCAAAATCCCCGTCGCCCGCACTGTGATGGAGGACAGCGCGATCGTGGGGAAGGCGTAGATTGTGACGTGCGGCGACAAGGGCCGGCCCGTCTTCTCCATTTGCTCGGTGTAGCTCGCCATCCCGCGCCGCACGATGCCCGGCGCGGGGCGCGCCGCCCGTGCGCTGAGCGACGGCATCAGGCGCCCGACGAGGCGGCCAGCGAGCGACATGGGCAAACAGACGGCTTGATGTCGGCGTCGGCAGTCCGCAAAATTCACAGCCTTCACACTAGTCACCGCGGCCGAACAGCCTGCAGTCGAACTCACGAGAAATCAAATTACACACTCAACTCGAAGCACACTTGTTGATCCTCCACGTTGCAGACATGGCCTACTTCCACCTCGCCGCGACTCTGGCCGGCCACAGCGGGGAGGTGCGCCGCGCTGAGGGAGAGAGAGAGAGAGGGTGTAGAGGATGTAGAGTGTAGAGCGCTGTAGAGCTGTAGAGATGTAGCGCGCTCTGGAGCGCTGTAGAGCTGTAGAGGAGCTCTACATCCGCCGCGTGACGAGGGTCGAGGCGCCTGCGTTGTAGAGCGATGTAGAGCGCGATAGAGCGCGATTTTGCTGTAGAGTTTGTTGTAGAGGCTCTACAGCCAACCGCCGGGAAGGCAGTGACTCAAAGAGGTCGAGCCGCGCTAATGGGGTGTCTCCGAGCTTACTGGAGCTCTGATGGACGGCCCTGACTATCCCTGACACACAGAGAGTCACTCTGACGGCACACAACACCCTATAACTGCGTCATGACCAGCCTGCCGTGCGTCGCCGGTGCCGCATTCATCGCAGTGCTTCTTTAGCAGGCGGTGGACTGTCGGCTGCGAGGACGGTCGCACATTTGCGCGAGGCGAGGCGAGCATTGCTGCGCGTTGCATGCGCCATGACTCGCGCCAGCGCGTGCGGGAGCTCCTGGCTGAGCGTTGAGTCCAAGCGAGTTGCGCTGGCCACTAT